AGTTAAGTTTCATCATCCAAATCGATAGTGCATGATATTCGTGTACATCTTATACATATACAGCTAAGTACAGATCACATATCACTTTAGTGTCCCTCAAGAATCGTCTCTTTCGCGCTCCGTCGCAAAAGACGACGACTGAACTGCATATCTAGGCTTTAACTGGGGTTTTTCTTAGGGCGCACTCCTGTCACTCGTGTTCATGTTGATCATCCAACTTTGATGATGATCCACTGTTGATTGGCAGATATCAGTGGAGTAATAATTTGAATCATAAACAAGAGCGGTCATAATTTTTTTAGCGATGCTTATGGAAATTTCAGGGTCAAATGATATTATTGGAAGATGCGTTGAACAGAATGGAAATTGCACGAATCATCAAATTTTCGTTCAGAATCGTTGCTATAACCTTTCAAAACCTGGCCAGAACTGTCAACTTGACGCCCAATGTATCGGTGGATCCGACTGCATGAACGCTGAATGCAAATGTCCTCCGAAAACCACACTAATCAATGACGTGTGCGTTTAATATACATTCGGTTTAAATTGCAACATTTGAAATCAGCTTCAGAAATAGCTGTTCGCATTTGTTCTTGACGACGACTATCTTTCTCGAAAATCTCCTCACCTTTTGGCTGATAACATATTCTTTCATGATATCATTGCGACTACTTGTAATCTGAATCATTACCCATACTGCTTATGCACACTTGCATCTCCTTCACGATTGCCTTCTCCGATTCCAGTGAATACGGGAATTCTTTCAACTAATATGGCTGATATACTCTCAGACGTGATCTTAATTACAGTTACCCGGTTTTATTGTCAAACAAGAAAGAAACTTTTGCATGAATAAAATGTTTTTCCCTGTTATTTGAATCTGTTTTTTCACTTCGATCATCATTTTCACTGGTTATAATACTTCTGTCAAAAGTTTCATTACGATTAATACTAATGCTTTAATAACCCCATTCGCCCGTCATATATGATCTTTTAACGTATCCACGTAATATGATCTTTTTAACGTATCCACGTAACAAAAATCGCCTGAAAGCAACATAAGAATCACAATTTGACGTATTAAAATCATGTTTTGCGACAAATCCACTCATAAACTAACCGCAGATATTAGTTAAGTTCGTTACCTTCTGCTTAATACAATTGATATCACTTGTTTGTTAAAATGTTTTTGCTAACGAATTTATTGCATGCATATACCNGGTAGATATGTGATTTCTATGGTACTAGCATGATTTTGGTGCGTAGCAATGAAAAACATCCTGTTCAGTGATATAGATCACAGTTGGTGGATATTCACTACAAATCTATCAGTAATCTAACAAGCTTGCTTGCGAAACAGTGAAGTATTCAAAGAAATATGTTAGTATGACTGAATCATCAGGATCCTCCGATCGTCCTCTTGAAATTTCTCAATTTCAGGTGTAAACCAACCACAACTACGACCTCAATTTGTCAATTCGGTCAAATCTTCGCCAATGGATCATGCTTGAATTTAGTGGCACCCGGTGATGCATGCGTCGAGAATGCTCAATGCGTTGATGGTGCCTCGTGTACAAATGCATTCTGTATGTGTCCGGAGGGTTTGAATCACATTGATGGATACTGTCGAAAGCTCACTTTCACTGATCGTTGTAACGAAGCCGAATCGGTTAGTACAGTGGCTCTTACGTTCGTGTGCTCCAATACCCCTTTTGATGATCTGACAGGCCGCTGTTATCCCCCTTGATAAAAGAACTTACCATTTCTACATATAACATCAGTAACAAACGGAAAACCAGTCCGAAAATTTCTAAACGGCTTGAGAGAAATCAGTATCCTAAACCGTGGTGTTGCTCATGATTGCAATCGATTATGGTTGCATGAAAAGCTATTGTCTATGACACGCTCACTTCAAATTGATTTAGATCGATTCTCATTCTTT